GAACAATTTTGAATTTCCGCAAAATTGAAAGAATATTATGTTCAAAATGCGGTAGCGAAAACCTTGTTGTCTCCTTATGGTAATTTTATAGACTTTTAACGCTAAGATTAAAGGGTTCGATTTCCAGTGATGGACTGATCACAGGTAGTCTGTTGTGTAGCTGTGCGTTAAAACAAACAAATCTCATTGTGTTAAAAATGAGATCGAATTTATTAGTTCTGTCCAAGAAGTCTAGTAATGGTGAACAAATTGTAGTCTGTCTTGTAAGCTACGAATAATAAAACTGTGGTGTAACTTATTTGGATTTGTTTGTTTGAAGTTAAGCACAAAGCTACACAATGGGCTATTTGTGGTCTGTACACCACGGGTATCGAAAACCGGTTTCTAGCGTTGTAAGTCCGCAGACATACTGCTGTGTCACTGGGGGGAGGACTTATTTGGAATATTTGCATTCGGAAATGGAAAATTTATAATCTCAAAGACTAGTGTGAAGATTACTGAAATCAAAAGTTTCTGTTTTTTTGTTTGTTTTTTTACCCTCAAACGCTTACTTTCTCCTTACGATTGCTCCCCAGTGACACAGTGGTATGTCTGCGGACTTACAATGCTAGAAACCAGGTTTCGATACTTGTGGTTGCCCGATGTGTAGCTTTGTGCTTAACTACAAACAAACGAACTCTTTACGAGTAATGCAATTACGGATGATACTCAGCAAAGTAGTACCCGCTCTCTCTTTGATAATATCAAAGTATTTGCTTAAATTCTCTTTAATGTATTTAAAACAATTACATATTTGAATTGATGAATTTTCAGTCGCAAGTGTAGCCTTTTTTTAGCACCGGCAACGAATATGTATTTTATGTTGTTTGAAAACCTGGAACAATTTTATATTATAAGATTTTTTCAGAATATAAATCAAGGTTTGATAAATCTGTATTGTGTTTTTGCATGATAGTTTATAGGCTTTAACGTTTTCATACACATACTGCATATATGTTTTGATATCTCTTCACATAAAGTTGCGATATAAATGTTTGTGAAAATAGAAACAAAAATTAACAGCAGTTTTATCGACGGAAGTGATAATGAATCTATTGTTCAAATACTTACGTGTTCCGTAGCTTCTATTGACACTCATAATTTGTTCATAGTTGTTAATAACGAACCTCTTCAAGCATGTTTTCTCGTATTCAATTCTGTTTATCCATTATATAAATAGGATTGCTTTGGAATACATTTCAAACAATTTCTTAATTACTTGTTTTGTGCGATTGTAATTAATTTTGATGAAATTTAGGACATTTGGTCATTAAAAGTCGCAAATCATCATTAGTTACTATGTCACAGTTAGCAGAAAATACGTGCTTGGTCATAAGGATAAGATATGTGGGGAGCTAAAGTGCATTCACAATGAGAGGATAAAGTATCGTGTAACTCCTCACTTATTATAGTAACTTGCTAAACCTTACAGATTGACAGTCACAAAAAAATTCCTCTTACGTGAGACTGGTAAACTTTATATCTTGATAGTCACACGAAACTTCCTCTTGTGTGAGACTGCTGAACTTTACAGATTGACAGTAACACAAAACTTCCTCTTACGCGAGACTGCTAAACTTTACAGTCACACAAAACTTCCTCTTACGTGAGACTGCTAAACTTTACAGCTTGATAGTCACACAAAACTTTCTCTTGCGTGAGACTGCTAAGCTTGGCAGTCACATAAAACTTCCTCTTGCGTGAGACTGATAAACTTTACAGCTTGACAGTCGCAAAAAAAGTCCTCTTAGGCGAAACTACTAAACTTTACAGTTTGACAGTCACACAAAACTTCTTCTTATCTTAGACTGCTAAACCTTACAGCTTGAATAGATTTTAGCATTCTTTATTTATTTATTGTTATTGTTGTACAATCGCTGAGTATCGTAAATGGTTGACTTCTTTTGCGGTTTCATTTATTAAAAATGTTTTATGATATCCGTGATTTTTAAAACTTTCACCAATTCTTGAACAGAAGAAAGATCGACAGGAATATGCATGACATGTACATATGTCACAAAAAGATTTTGGACAGCAAATGGTGAATTTACATTTCGTCACTAGGTGCCCTTTTAAAAGGCATTACTCACAACTGGACTCTAATATTAACATTTGTCACTAATCGCTGGTACACACCTAATGCAAAACACCACCATTCCTGTTAAACAGCAGCTCCAAGTGATAAGCAGATTTCGGGGGCCGTCCATTTTGTTCCTCAGAGGGAGGCATTCCTAAACGATCCAGAGGGGTTCAGTGGATCTATGTCGGGTTTTTTCCAAAACATATTAAAATAAATTTCTTGAATTTCTTGTTAGACATTGGCCTGAGATATGACACGGTGTATTATCATGCTAGAAGAGGCATTGCAGCATTTTCAAGAAAGTCATAATACGACAAAACATTCACGATTCACCTGTGAACTAAGTTAAAAACGACAAAACCATGTTGACATTGTACTGTTCTTCACAGTTATGTACGAATATACTCATCTTTGCTATCAGATCCAAATCTGGCCATCAGAAACGAATAATGAGTAGTACAAACAGATGACGCTATTTAAATTGTTCTTCAGCTCTTCGTTTAAAGTGTCACGAAAGTACTGAACAGATGTGTTGAAAAACAGTTCGGAGCTTCCATTAAAGCTTTAAGTGCGATTCCGTTGCTTAACAAGTTCAGATGAAATGATAAATGATTAGTGTTGGAAATCTAGAGCGATAATCAAAATTATCGAATTCAGTGGCCTTTCATTTCTTCAGTATATTACCTACAATAAACTAGCGTGTGTATGAGTAGGCTAAAATGTCGTTGACAGTCACAATGCCAGTTTTGTAACAATAAAAGTTACCTCATATCATTTTGTGGCAGCTGTTATATATATATATATATATATTCCTTGAACTCGTACATCATTAAATTCAGGTGCAAATTCAAAAAGGACGAACCTACTGGTGTCTGATTATTTTCAGTCATAATGCTTTTGATAACATGGTGTATATGGATAAATAAGCATCGCAATTTAAAAATTATTTATTGCTATTCTTGAGAGACAGGTTAGAATTGCAGGGCTTTAAGAAAAATGTTTGTTAAGCATCTATTGGACCTTCGAATGGTTAGATGTGATAGGTCGTGTTCCAAAATGACACGTAACTGTCTGTCTGTCAGCATCATAAGGGTAATTGAGTAAGGAAGCACAGTATGCTAATATAGACTAAGTTACCAAACAACGATTTACAAGCATAATCGAATGATTTATTTTTTGTGGGAGTATACTACATTTTCCGAAGAAGACACACCAGTTTTTATATCAAAACATGTAGTATTTTCTCCATAAATAAATCCCTTCAGTATATTTGTAAATCGTTGTTTGCCGACTTCTATATAAATAATACGCTTGAGTTTGTCTGTTCGGAACTTTTCTCACAAATGTCTCGATCAAACGCTACAAATCTCATATGGTTAGAAAGGTCTTTGTCTGAGGAGTTCGGATTGCATATTGGCTTTCCAATTCAGAACCACCTTACCTATTGTTTGCTGAGCCAAACTTTTCATGCAACAGGTATGGTAAACGATGGCACAATTTCGTTGTCATCACGTAACGACTGTCTTCGATTTCAACTTTAGTTTTTTTAGTTGCAAAATATTTCACACAAACAACATATAACCCGCATGTAGTTTCCTAAAAAATTAACGTTACACTAAATACAATTTCTATGGATTTTCTCGACTTACTTGGGTCTAAAATATGCATACGTTCAAACCATATGCTTATCATTTTGTGAACACGTATTCAGACGTTTTTGCATATTCAGCTAAGTTTGCCTTCATTACAACTTTACATGTACTTTATTTTACAATAACCTAGCTTCGGTTCATTTCATAAACTATTATAAACATCTTTTAGCAGCTATGGGTTTTATTCTTCGTTTTGCGAGTTTCCTTTGTTGAACTCGTAAAGCCATGTCATACACTGAACGCTCATAACTGTTTCATACTCCGTGCACTATTATAAACATCATTACTTTATTTTATTGCTTACTTTACGTGTAGTTTTATTAATTAAAGTTATGTCTACGTGAGTTGTTTGTTTCAAATAGACCAGAATATTATGATCTAACACATAATGTCTCCAAAGAAAGCGTAGATTAAATGGTGTGCGTGAAAATGGAAAATTAAAGGGAAGGGCATAAAAACTACCACAAACATTTTGTGGGTCTGGGCTAATATTATAATAAGAGTATTATTTGGAATTTAAAATATGAACATATATATATATAGCATTTTATTATTGTGTGGAAACGGCATGGCCTAGTGGTTTCAATTTGTAATCCCAAAGTTGCGGGGCCAAAACTTTTCGTGCCAAATAGTCGTGATCTTGACCAAGGCAATTTAACCACTATTTGCTTCAGTTCACTTATCTGTAAAAGGAGTACTAATTCATAACTGGGTTTAACCTAACATGAACTGGCACCCCTCCAATATAAACGTGTCAACATTCTTATCCATTAGTGCCACTGGAATCGGAATTAAGCATTGGCTCAACGTGTCCTTCAGGCACGTGGATTAAATTTAACTAATATTATCTTGTGATGTTAAAGATTTACTGAATGGAATACTGAGCCTGTGCGGGGTGCGACTTCGTGACACTGCTTACTAGGTCACCTAAGCTAGCCGTTCCCATACGCTCTTAACCTTAGGTTTCACTTCAATAATAAAGTCTTTGAGATGGATTATATAAGACGATATATTAATATCAAAACTGCAGCTTTTATTACTAAAAACGATTAGTTTTTTCGTAAGATTAATACTGTAATGAGATATTTCTAACACAATATATTTCAGGCAAGTTGGACTTCGAGTACACATGCATTTAGGTATTCTCACAAAGTTATTTGTCTATTTTGGAACATGTACTAGAAGTGCTTTGAATGTTACCAACTACCAATAAAAAAAACAGTTCTTACCTTGCCTGGGGATGTGCTAAAGAGACTTTCAGCAGGAGAAGAGCAACCAGGAATATCATTGTTTTCATGGAAATATTATTCATTGTTATTCTTGCTTACGAGACTAGTGTAGGTTCTCAGGGCTGTAATGTTTATTGGCTTCGTAAGAAGCTCCAGTCAGTATTCTGACGTTCTTCTTTACAACTCGGGACAGACAGCCTTGATATTATTCTCTCTCTTTCGTCAACTGAAGATGTTCCGAATGATAGTTTTCGCTTCTCTTCAGAGAGAATAGTTGAATAATTGCTTTTAAATCTCATTTATATAAAATAGTGAGAAAAGATAACAATTCCCCGCCCACATAGGCTGTTTGCATCTGCCAATCACTATGCAGCAAAGTATGACGTCAGGGCTTTTCATATCTAAGTAGATACTTGACAGTTCTCGTTGGACCATATACTAAGCCTCATACCAAGCGTGGGCACGTTTGACGTTAAAATTTAACAATACATTCGTACGGTATTATGTTTAGAATTTTTATAAGAAGTTCTTGAATTTATAGTTTCGCATATAGTTCATATAATGACACGGCGTTATTTAAGTTTGTAAATTTCAACTGTTTTGGTATTGCATTAAGGTAGTTAACCGTTACACCAACTTCACATATGGAACTGAAAACACCATTGAGCCATGAAATTATGGTAAAGAACCGACATCATCACAGCTTAGTCAGTATATGTTATGAGTCCTTCTGTTATCATAATTTTCGTAGCATGTTTGAAAACACCATTATATAGTGTGTTGAGTTGAATGTTATACAAACACAATAACAGGCTGTAGGGGACGGGGTATCTGGAGAAAGATATTTATTTTATTGTTTTTGTTAAGTACGAAAATGCACAAAACCGTCTTTAATATTATAAGCTTTAAGACTAACCGCTGTACCACTGGGAAGAGGGGGAGAGGAATACGTATTAATATACGTTATTTTAATAGGCGCCGAAAATACAGAACATAGTCAAATGTTTAACTAAAACTTTTTAAAGAATTACATTTCAATACGGTGTATGCACATAATAAAAACAAACAAACACGCAGTCATTTATATTGAGAAGAAACCGTAGGTCACTGCAGCATTTGTAAAACAATTATTTCAGAAGTTATTTCTCATCTATAATCCTTTTTAATTCCAAATTTATCAACATGTTAGAATTTTAAACTAAAGCAAGGCAATGAAAAAGCTACGGTAAAGAAGGATGTGGCAAACAACACCTTAATTTCTTCAAATTTTTATATGCCTCTCCCGGTGGGTCAACAGTAAGACTGGGGGCTTAAAATTTAAAAAATCAGGTTTCGATACCCGTGGTGGGTAGAGCACAGATATCTTGTTACGTAGTTTTGTACTTCAATGAAATCCTAACTCTATCACAATCATAAAAATAAAAGTTATGACGTAAAAGAGAAGGTAGAAAGGAGCAGGTTTTTATAATTGGGCAGCTATCTGGTCATAATTCGTAAACACGGGTCTGAACACAAGAAGGCCCTTCTTTGCAACATTTCTGTGATCTTAATTTGGGCAAAACTAGAAGCTTTTTTTAACGCTGTGTTCAGAATTATTCTGAAATCAACCATAACATTGTAAAATATCAGAAACTCATAAAAATAACCTGATACGAAGAGCATATTTAAGAACTAAAATACTGGAACTCACAAACAGTTATATACTAACAAGTGCCATTCGTATTACGAAAATTACTAGTCATAAACCATCAGTTACAAGTTTAATGAACACAATTGTCAGTACCAACACAAGTATTAGGACAATTAATAGTAACATACTAACGTCTACCTTCGGTAAGTCATGTTTATCAAACACAACAAAATAATTATTAGTCACAAACCAACTATAAGCAGTCATAAAACCCTGATTAACAACCATAGCTCACACAATAAAATAATGACACTCGCCAGCCGTATTACAACAATTAACCAACCTAGTCCTGCCATAGTAAAAATTAACAATAGTTACATTACCACAGCTAATATTGCGATTAACGCTTTACGACGATTACCATATGTTTGCTAGAATTATCAGCAACATATCATATCGAGGTAAACAGTACAAATTTATAAAGTAGGCCAAGGTAAACAGCATAAAGTCATACACTAGGACAAGCTAAAATTGGAAGCTAAGACAAGGTAAACAGTGTAATGTATTATAGTAGGAAAAGGTAAACAGTGCGAGCTAATACAGTAAGACAGTGGTTCCCAACCTTTTCTCCACCAAGGACCCCTTTTATTATCGTTTTTTCCCCCACGACCCCCATGTTTTTGAAAGATTCCGCCTACCCAACAAACTGTTTTTATTAACTAATAATTAACTCGTTCTCCCACTTTTCATTATCAAATAAAATACATATATAACTGAGTGTGCAATTAAAAAAACATCAGTATTAAAAACTTACTTGTTTAATGAGATGGTATTACCTACGCAGACCCCAGGTTGGGAACCACTGCAATAGGACAAGGTAAATAGTGCAAGCTAATACAGTAGGACAACGCAAATAGTGTAAGGTAATGCAGTAGGACAAAGTAAACATAGTAACGTAATGCAGCAGGTGAAGGCAAACAGTGCAAACTAATAGAGTAGTATAAGGTAAGCAGTGCAAGCTAATGCAGTAAGACAAGGTAAACAATGCAAGTTGATGCAGTAAGACAAGGTAAACAGTGCAAGCTAACGCAGTAGATCAAGGCAAACAATACAAAGTAATACAGTAGGACAAGGCAAACAATGTAAGCTAATGCAGTAGAACAAGGTAAACAGTGCAAGCTAATACAGTAGCACAACACAGAGTAAGGTAATGCAGTAGGACAAGGTAAATAGTGCAAGCTAATACAGTAGGACAACGCAAATAATGTAAGGTAATGCAGTAGGTGAAGGTAAACAGTGCAAACTAATAGAGTAGGACAAGGTAAGCAGTGAAAACAAATACAGTAGGACAAGGTAAATAGTGCAAGCTAATGCAGTAGATCAAGGTAAATAGTGCAAGCTAATACAATAGGACAAGGCAAACAATGCAAAGTAACACAGTAGGACAAGGCAAACAATGTAAGCTAATGCAGTAGAACAAGGTAAACAGTGCAAAGTAATACAGTAGGACAAAAAAACAGTACAAACTAATCCAGTAAGAGAAGGCAAACGGTACAAGCTAATACAGTAGGACAACGCAAATAGTGTAAGGTAATGCAGTAGGTGAAGGTAAACAGTGCAAACTAATAGAGTAGGACAAGGTAAGCAGTGAAAACAAATACAGTAGGACAAGGTAAATAGTGCAAGCTAATGCAATACATCAAGGTAAATAGTGCAAGCTAATACAATAGGACAAGGCAAACAATGCAAAGTAACACAGTAGGACAAGGCAAACAATGTAAGCTAATGCAGTAGAACAAGGTAAACAGTGCAAAGTAATACAGTAGGACAAAAAAACAGTACAAACTAATTCAGTAAGAGAAGGCAAACGGTACAAGCTATTACAGTAGGACAAAGAAAACAGTGCAAACTAATAAAGTACGACAAGGTAAACAGTACGAGCTTACACACTAAGTAAAACTAAACAGTCCAACCTATTATGGTAAGAGAAGCTAAGCAGTACAAACTAATACAGTTCGTTTATAAACATAATACCATGGTTTTCTACAGCTTTCCAAGGTACGCCAAATTTTCCGTAAACAAAGAGAAATAATTTTGTATTTGTATTTTACTTCTTTGGCAAAGCTATCTGCTGCTGTCCCTAATTTTGAACTACTGACTAGAGTAGTGTGACCATATGAAACATTTTAAATACTTTATAGTATTTGTTTAGCATTTTGTTTCTGGTCGCGGTAAATTTCGCTATTTTTTCGAAAGAGTATACTTAAAATGTGTTTCAAATGTTATCAGTATTTTTTACTTTACTATACTCATTTCAAAAAATTTGTAAAAAAAATCATTAAATGCAAGTAAATTTGACTCCGTTCGACACATTTTAGTTGTTTTTTAAAAGAAATAACAGTAACTTTTTGTGAAATCTTTTAATGTGTATCATTAAAATGTAGTGTCTGAAGATAAAATCCTTTGTTTTATGTAAAACCTGTTAAAAAAGAATAGTAAGAAGGCGACGTTTTTATTAATTAAAATGTATTTTTTATCAGGTGTATGGGTCATAATGTCGTCTTGTACAATATGTTAAAGTAATTTAATAAAGAAGCTGTTTATAAATAATTGAGTTTTATGTATGGAAGTGCTCTCAGTTTATAACATTTTTAAGTTCTGAAACTGTATTTTTTAAGTGTGTTGTTAATATTTTTCCGCCCTGCTTATCAAAATAACTTCAATTTTGAACAAATAATGATAATTATCTAATTAAACTTTGCTTCCCTCATAAGTACGGAATTGAATGCCGAACGTTGGCAAAGGATTGAAAATCAGGTTAAGAATGACTTTTAAAAATAGGGAATTATACTAGAAGATAGCTTTTATATGCGAAAACATCTGTTAGATGAGTTCTTGCATAGATCTTAAAATATAACGTTGATAAATGGAAACATCGGCACATGTAGATACGTAGATCTTGAAAGTCGAGTTGTTCTAAACTTAAAATTACTTCAAGGAAAATTGTGAGCTTCTCAACTGACCCAAAATTTAGTCCTAACAAGTGTCCTGTTTACCTAAAACTATCATGGGTTGGTAACATTTCAACAAAATTTGGAAAACAATTGAAAATGGCCAGTACTAAATGTTTTTCTTCAGTGAACCCCTACGTAAGTTGTTGCCTACAGCACACAAAGATGCGATACCTACCACACAGAAAGTATGGTTATTTATGAGTTCTCGTGCGACTGCGAATGTCGGTATGTAGGTTGCACTTCACAAAGACTGCAGGATAGAATTAAACAACATGTACCCACATCCATAAGAAATAAGAGTGTGAAAGAAAAGAATTTACCATGTCGCTCCTGTAAAACAAAAGTTCAACCACCAAAATATGAATCAGCGATTGGCCAGCATTGGCCCGACTTGTGCTGATAACTACACGCATAGCAGGTTTGAAATTATTGCAAATGGTCGGTCGACCTTTCATCTCTATATTTTGGAAGCCACCTTTATTAAAACGCATAAACCTGTCCTTTGCCGCTAAAAAGAATTCCTATACAATCTACACATCCTTCAGTAGATCTGTGATATTTCCTGATTGGCTAAAAGACATGCCAATGAGTGATTGCCCTACCA